AGCATTTGTATGCTAAAGAGAGACTCTCTCGTACCCACTGCATTCCAAAAATCAAATTATATATGGCTGAGTTTTTCTTCGCACAGTCTATATATCCTTTGGTGTATGCTTTTTAGAAATATCTTCAGCTATCAGCTCATTAAGCTGATGGTTGGGAAATCACTGCAGAATACGGCTTTTGTTTTCTTTGGTAACGCAATAAACGTCAACTTCACCAGTGGTCTTGCTAGCTCTTGGTCTAGTATCTAGGTCTTGTATAAGAAAATACATAATCTTTCGAAAGCGAAAGCAAAAGGCGAAAATGATTGGCCAGATATTTTGTTTTTAACTGAGCACTGGTTGTATCCTCTGGAAACACTTTGTATTAACAATTACTCCATAATATCCAAATTTTGCAGATCTGAAAGCATCCATGGAGGCACATTAATTTTAATTCATAAATCGTTTCAGTATAAATTCAATTTTGTTAACTACAATAAATTTAACCACCTCTGCATTGAATCTAAATTTGAATTCTCTATTACTTTCAGTAAGAAGCTTAATACTTTTCTCATTGTTATGTACAGACCTTCTAAGTCTATTATTCAGTTATTCTTTCAAAGATTAGAATCATTGTTTGAAAAAATTCCACAAAATGCTTTTATTATCTTGACACGTGACTTTAATACTGATTATCGGGATTCATCATACGGCCATGTTATTACCATTACAAATTTACTTAATAGTTTTACTATGAGAATGCTGGTTACCAATCCAACCAGAAATAACTGCATATTGGATTATATTTGTACTAATCTACATTCAGATCTGGCTGTGTGCAGAGTTATTCCATAGTTTTCATCAGATCATGATCCCAGTCTATGTGAATTTCCCCTTAAGAATGCATCTTATACAGCCAGATGGGGTTGGATTTTCATCAAAAGTAATTTTGACAGGTTTATCAAATTATGTAATCAGGAAGATTGGAATAATATTTTTTGCTCTCCTGATTTGCTTCATCAATTTCATCATACTCTCATGAAGATTTTCAATTTAGCATTTCAAAAAACACTTCTAAATCGAAAAGTTAGAAAACTTGGGTTACTAAAGGAATTATAATTTCCTGCAAAAACTTAATATTGTTAAATTACATTAAAAAACATATAATATGCATTGATGAATTTTAGATATATTTTTATAAATATAGGTCCATATATAGGAAGGTAACTAAATTATCCAAATGTATATCTTTTAAATCTAGAATGGAACATATATATATATATATATATATATATATATAATATATATATATATATATATATATATATATATATAATGGTAAGGTTAATTGGGTTAGCAGGGGTTATACTAATTAATAATTGGACAGCTGTGATCATTCTTCGTTTATATATATATATATATATATATATATATATATATATATATATATATATATATATATCCGGTTTTTTAGGCGTTACGCCCGTCCGGTAGGGATCTATGGAGGAGTATCACCGAGCCGCAAGCCCTTATCTCTTGCCGTACTGCTCCACCATAGGCCGATCAGAACCCAGCATATCCTAGTCCAAGCCGCAGATTCATCTAGAATTTTAAACTGCTGCGTTAGACTTTTTGTTTTCTGTACACAATAGAATGGAACATGCCAATAATAAATAAAAGGAATCTTGGCGTATTACCTTAGAGCAGGGGTGCTCAAACGGTCGATCGCGATCGACTGGTCGATCGCAAGTGCTTTTTGGGTAGATCTCGAGAAGAAAAAAAATTTTAATAAGTAGGTAGGTAACTAAACTACTGTCAGCAAAGTTAAACGTTTTTATTAATACTGAACTATACAAATACATATAATGCTTGACTAAGCATCATTGCAATTCAAAGAAGTGGGGACAACAAAATACTGTCCACACAGCATATTTTATATTTACATATATTAACTAATTATTTTATTAATTCAGTATTTATTATAATTATTAATCAAATTTGGGATGATATTCTATCAACTACAAAAATGTATTACGTAATAAAATAACACTGCTTGCGGTAAAAGGTGGCTTTATCAAAGGAACGCGCGGCACTTGTCAAAGAAAAGCCGTGTTGTTCCTAGACGAGAGACAGTACAGTCTAGTTTCGGGCGGCGCGTTTGACGAGAACATGCGAGACTTTCGTTCACGCCGATATAAATGTTGCGCCTGCAGGAATTGGAGTTATTCTGAATTGTGACTTGATAGCGATCCTACGTCGATACAAAGTTTATTATTAAATAGTGGAAAATGAGTACAGTGAAGAAATCTAAAACGTATCATTTTAATAAGAATTGGGAGGAAGAATTTTTCTTTTCTATGGTGAAGTATAAGTGCATTTGTGTTATTTGTCGTGCGTCAGTTGCAATAGCTAAGCGTGGTAACTTAGAGAGGCATCATAAAACGGTTCATAAAAACTATGAAAAGGATTTTCCGCCACAGAGTGAATTAAGAAAGCGAAAAGTAAGTTATTTGATATTTTGTTTGAAAAAAGAACAATCCATGTTCACAAGACCAGCCAAACAATCAAAAGCTGCTACGATCGCGTCATTTAAAATATCTCATATTTTGGCGAAACACAAGAAACCATTTGAAGATGGATCGGTGGTGAAGGAAGCATTTATTGAAGCTGGTGAGACTTTATTTGGAGATTTTAAAAATAAAACAGAAATCATGTCTGCTATTAGAGAACTTCAGTTATCTCGTCCGACTGTCACAAGGCGTATTGAAGTCGTGAGTCAAGACATCGCAGATAAACTAAAACATGATATCATGAAATGTACATACTTTTCTTTACAGTTCGACGAATCCATCGATATGACAGACACTGCCCAGCTGTGTCTTTTTATTCGGATGGTATTCAATGACATGTTGGCTAAGGAAGAATTTTGACAATCATTCCTCTGAAGGGGAAGACCCGTGGCGAAGATATATATGACGTTTTCTTAAATTTTGTAAAAAACTATGAGCTACCAATATAAAAAATAATGTGCATTACAACCGATGGAGCACCAGCAATGACTGGAAACAAAAACGGTTTTGTGACATTGTGTCGAGCTAATGAAGAATTCCCTTCATTTTTTTCATTCCATTGCATTATACATCAACAAGTTTTGTGTTCAAAAGTTTTAAACACGAAGGAAATTATGGGCATTGCAACAAAAATTGTGAATTCCATCCGTGCACGTAGCTTGCAACGGCGGCTCTTTCAGTTGCAGTTGGAAGATAGTGAGTCAGCTGAACACACTGATTTAGTTCTTCACACGGGCGTCAGGTGGTTGAGTAGCGGAAAATTTCTAGAAAGCTTTCAAGAATTATTGCCCGAAATAACAGATTTTCTAGACGAAAGAGGTGATGACACTCAGATTTTGAAAAACGAAAAATGGCTAAATGATTTGGCATTTTTGACTGACATCACAATGCACTTAAACACCGTTAACTTGGAGCTTCAAGGTAAAGGAAAAACTATTATTGAGATGATTAGCGCAGTAAACGCATTCAAAAGTAAATTGCAACTTATGATAGATCAACTGAAAAGAAAGGATCTGAAACATTTTCCGTCTTTGAAAGCAAGGATTCCTCAGGTGAATTATGATACGTATGGGGCTGAATTATCAAATATTTTGGGACAATTCGAAATGCGCTTTTATGATTGCAGTAAATTGGAAAATATAGCATCATTTATGAGTTATCCTTTTTCATGTAAAAACATTGAAGAATTAGCTACTGAAATAGCAAGTCAGTTTAATATGAACTCATGTTCTGTTGAAAATGAGTTGGTGCAGATTATATCAATGAGCGCTATTCTATTAATATCTCTATTAATTATGGAGTACCTCAAGGCCCTGTCTTGAGTTCTATCTTCTTCTTGATATCTTTTAACGACATATCTAACCTCGACATTAATGGTAGGTTTACTATATTTGCAGATGACACTACAATTTTACGGCAAAACAAGGACTCTAAGGTACTGAACAAGATTATTAGTAGTGATATGCTAAAAGTCTTAGACTGGTGCAAAGCTAATTATTTGACATTTAATTTTTCCACAACCAAATTAATTTCTTTTAAAATAATCTAAACAACATTACTCTGCACAATAAATACATTTGTTGTCACACCGTAAACACATTTTTAGGTCTCTATATTGACAATAAACTTAAATTTGAGCAACACACTGTATGCTTAAGCAAAAAGATATCATCGGGTTTTTTTACGGTCAAATCAATTGTTCACCATTAAGATTTTAAGATTGCAAAAAGTGTTTATTGCAGATTGAATCTAATTTGAGATACGGTATTGTCTTTTGGGGTAAATGTTCTCTTCATCGTTTCAGTGAAAATCTCCAAAAGAGAGCACTCAGATATTTATGCAAGGTCAAGTTTGGTACATCTAGCAGGCCTCTATGTATATATACATCCATATCCACAGACATGAAAAATCTGATCAGCTTGTAACTCATTTACTCACTTTATTCTAATTTTCCATTAATTTTCCTTGCCCAATATACATTTTGTAGCAATGTTTACTTTCGTAACTAAATTGGTTGCGTTACAAATTCACTGGGCGAATTACACAATAAATGTGTTACGTTATCTTACTACTTTGAAGTTTAGCATATCTTTTAACAAATTATTAAACATACCAAATTAATTTATTAAAATAGAAATCGGAATATTCTAAGCGCGAGCTATTCGGTTTGCTGAAAATCATGACCTGAACCCAACTTCACACAAAAATGGTACGGCATCACTAATGACTAATCCTCGAAGTTTTGACATTACTTTATACTTGCTGCTTCTGAATGCTCAGGTCCAAGATGTAAGAAGGTAAAAAAGCAAAGGAAACATAAATGGTTTTAAAGCCGACATGAATAGAGTCGTGTATACCTCAATCTGGGTTAACTAAATAATATAGTAACAGGCTTTCAAAGAAAAGAATATACAATTTAAGTAAAAATCTGTATACACAAATCGTGCTTACCTAAGGTAGTCTCTTTTACATAGTATTAAATTTGCTTTGGTATATAGTGTAGATCCTACTTCGCCTAAACGGCAATCACAGCAACCGCACTTGAGACAGTCTTCGTGCCAAAAAAGGTCCAACGCTTTAAGAAGGAATCTATCGTGAATTCGTTTTCCGCACCCCGCGCACTCGCGCACATTGATACCAGTCGTAGATAACGTATTGGGAGCACTAGACACGGACACAGGGGTAACACCGGTAGGCAGGGATATAGACGATCGTGTAGTTGACACTTGGTTCTCTCCAGATTCTGAAAGTAAAAGTAAATGATAAGTTTATTGTCATTATCATAAAATAAATACAAACTTAGTACATACTTAAAAATTATAGATCAACAAAGTCTCAACATTAGACAATTCCTGAGTTAAAGGCACAAGGTTGTATGTAAGTGAACAAAATGGTTAATCAAGTTGACTCTAAAGAAGCATATTAACTTGGAAAAGGATCAGTATAGAAGCAATGCGACCAATTTGTGACAATAATGTTAGAACACTCTGAGGTTTCCAGAGCAACAACTAACACATCCACGGAGGACGCTAAGCTGCCTGAGAACTTGGCTTTGTAACTTGGCTGCACTGTACTGAAGACGACCAATAGTCAATAATACGTATATACGGTTGCCTTCCATCTTATACACATATTTTATTATACTTTTCCTTTCTTGCGAGCTATGCCGATACCTTTTACCTTTATTTTATTATCAACTCGCATTAACATTTCTCTCTCTCTCTATATACATATATATATATATATATATATATATATATATATATATATATATATATACAGTAAAAGTATAAGCCAATAAAACAAAGTATTTGAAAGTAGAATAAAATTACAATATCTATATGGTGATTGGAGATTATTAAGAAGAAAAATATTTTAAATTGGTAGAAGCTGATACTTAAAACATTCTGGTATATTTGGAAAAACCAATTTTACAAAAACAAGGATAACCGAGGCTCATAAAGAAGATATTGAGTGGTGATTATAAAAGTGATAGAAAGGTACCAAATTTTGTTAATATAAATTAATTATTGTAAGAATTTCAAATTTAAGATAGGTTGTTCTAAATTTATATTGTCTATATTAGATATACATGCGTGTTTCATAATAGTTATAATAAAGATAACTTAAAAAAGTACTTACAAACTAATTCGTTGAAAACCTCGATAAAACCCTACAATTATATGTTATTTTAAATATATTAGAAATAGAACAAGTAAAGTCTCAAAATGACTCAAGAAAGAGAGGAAAATGTCAGTATGGCAGCTTTGATGTTATTAATGATGCAGATGAACAAGACAATGGAAGAGAATATGAAAAAAATGGAAGAAAAGTTGGAAAAGAATTCGAAAGAAGTCAAAGAAGACATAAGAAAAATGGAACAGAAATTGGAAGAGAATTTGAAAAAAATGGAAAAGAATTCGAAAAAAATGGAAGAGAATTATAAAAAATTAGAAAAGAAAAATAGAAGATGATAATAATAAAATTGTAAAACAAATAGATAAAAAATTGGAGCTGCAGAGAAAAAAGGAGCAAATGAAATAAAAAATATACAGCATGACTACAAGAAACGGATAAAAAATGAGAGAACAGAAGTAAATAGGATTATTCAAGATAATATGATAGATATAGAACAGAAAATAGAGTTGCAGAAATGTAACTTAGAAGTTAAAATTAACGAAGACAGGAGAAAGACAGAAGAACAATTAGACGATATGCAACAAAATATCCAAATAAATAGTAATCACATAAGAAATGTGAAACAGAGAATAGATAATATTTCACAAATGAGAGACATAGGGAGACCTTACTTAAATTTAACAAATGACACTGTAATTAAATTCTCTGGTAATATCAAAAATTTGCAACCTAGAGTATACATAAATAGTTTAAAACATAAATTAAGATTAGTGAATAATATTAATGATATTAAAGATTATATTAGAATGACATTAAGTAACAATGCGGCAACTTGGTTTGCCACTATTGAAAATGATTTGGATAATTTTCAAACATTTGAAAATAAATTTTTAAATTATTATTGGGGTGAATTAGAGCAAGCTAGATTTAGGGAAGTTCTCTATTTTGGAAAGTTTAATCATAATTTAGGATCAAATATGGTAGATTATGCATTAAAACTGATAACGGTTGCAAAATATTTAGAACCACCGCTTAGAAAGGATGAAACAGTTGTAAATGTATCAAGACATTTTGATGCTGATGTTGTACAAACAGTAACTGTGCAAAATATTCAAACAATAGATAGTTTTATTAATTTTATTCAAAGAATACAAAGAGGTAATATGACAAGTAATAATCATAACAATATATATATATATATATTACATATATGTTATGTAAACCTTCAGGGTAATGATTTTGCAAAATGTTCTTCGCTTTTATTAAACCTCTGTACTAAGATTTTCTAGCCTAATGATGCGTATATAGTATAAATCAAAATGAAAGCAGATGTTACATACAACGATCCACATGACCGTATAAAATGCATACATTATTTAAAGATATTTAAGACAGAGTTAATTTAAAGTCAATTAACACTTTAATTTCGTTTTATAAATATATTTAACACACTCGTTTGCTTTTAATACTTTTGTCATTAAAGCTTAAACTATTTTAATTAAACCAAAGCAACGGCTAATTTAACTAGACAAATCTCAAAACAGAAAAGAGGCAGCGTTTTCGTCTTCAACCCATCTACCCCACGGTTATTGTTGGTGCATAATAGCTGCTGCCTTATTCCCTTCTGATGATTACATTTTCGCTTTCTCAGATGCGGGTTTCTTAGCTGTATAATTAGAAAAGCTTTATTTTAAAATACATTATACAATACCACTGTAATTTAATTACCAGACTATACCTACTGTAGAAGTCTGCTGAAATATGATGCCTTTAATTTTCTTGATGTTTGCTTTTAGACGCAATCGTGTATTAAGGGTAAATGTATATTACACAACAACGTCATACCATTAGACTGGGATTTTCCATATTTTCGTACAAACCAAAATTATTAGTTATGTGTTCAAAGGGTCTAAGCTTTAAAAATTTAAAACCTTTTTAAACACGTTTTGTATAAATTATTTTCGTTTAAATACTTCTTCTCCTACCTAAATATAATAATTATATAATAATAATATAATAATCGCTTAAATCGATATTTTTACCTCTACCAAAAAACAACAATCCGAAATCATGTAATGACTGTAGATTGATAACCCTTTTAAGATTCTCTTGAAAATTGTTCAAAACCGAATTTATAAGAAATGTGAGGAGCAGATCGATCAAATGGTTTGCCTTCAGAGGAGGCATGGGTACAAGAGAGGCATTATTTGTGTTGACGGTACTCTTGTAGAAATGTCGGGAATATACCAAGAGTGCATACGTATGCTTCATATACTTTAGGAAGGATTTTGACTGAGTGCAGCATATGAAATTATTAGATGAATTAAAAACATCAATTTAGACAAAAAGGCATTGAGTTTATTAAGGCTATATACTGTAACCAGAAAGCAGGAGCAAAGGTGAAAGATATAGAAATAAATAATATACCGATTGCGAGAGGGGTCAGGCAAGGATGCGTCTTGTCTCCGACGCTTTTCTACGTGTACTCACAGGTCATATTTAGAAAAGCCTGAATAGAAGAATTTTTTAGAATATTTAGAATAAGAATTGGTGGAGAAATCGTAAACACCATGAGATTTGCAGATGCCAGGGTATTTATGGCCATTGAATGCATTCAAATGGGTCTTGACATCAACACAGATAAGACCAAATTTATGATAGTATCAAGGAATACAATAAATAATGAACAACTTAATCTTGGTAGACAGCAAATAGAGAGAGTGACAAAATATAAATATCTGCGAGCTTACATCAACACAAAATTGGATCCAGACCAAGAGATCAGGGTACGAATAGAAATGGCAAGGGCAGCGTTTTTAAAGTTCAAGCAATCGTTCTGTGACAAAAATCTGAATACTGCGCTGAGACTGAGGTTTGTTGAATGTTACGTCTGGTCCCAACTATTGTACGGGGTAGAAACATGGACGTTAAAAGCGCAAATAGTTAAGAAGTTTGAAGCCTTTGAGTTTGGAAATACCGGAAAATGTTGAGAATTCCATGGATTGCCAGGGTCACCAATGAGAAAGTGCTGAGAAGGATGGGTCGAGACAAAAAATTGTTGAGAACAATAAAAGTACGCAAGACTGCATACCTTGGACACATACTGAGGAATGATAAATATAGTCTTCTGCAGGTCATCATTCAGGGTAGAGTCGATGGCAAAAAGGGAATAGGTAGAAAGGAAGTCATGGCTGCGAAATATTCGAGATTAGACATACATGACTATAGACGAATTATTCCTCGTTGCAAAAGACAAAGAAACTTTTAGAAATGTGGTCGCCAACCTCCGTTAATGGGGACGGCATAGGAAGAAAAATAATATAATATTATATTCAAGATGGCCCCGCTAAAGAGCGGTCGTGTTACTGAAGCTACAGTTAAATGCTTTAAAAAGTGACAAAAGGTGGCACAAAGTGGTCTTACGTGCACCAAATGTAGAATATTATCGCATAGTGGTTGTTTAAAGCAATTAAAATGCGTTAAATATATTGATAATGAAGCAGTGATATGTTGAGAAGAAAGTGTGAGGTTAAATGATCCAATAGACGAAATTTTGGATACCGACTTTGATGATAAGGATCCAAAGTTAATGGAAATCAGGTATCTAAAGAAAATTATAAATCAGAATGTAGTAATCATATTAAATTAGCAAAAGTATAAATTCGCTAATAGAACAATTAGATTTAATTAATGTTATAAAATTAACAAATCAATGGCCATCTATACAACAAAATGTGAGTTTAAATACTTATTCAAATAAAAACCTAAACAGTGAACTAACGAAACAATTAATCATTAAAAACTATCCAAATATCGAACAAACTGTAACCGCAAAAACTCTAACCGATATGAATAGTTCAACTGTTAGTAGGTTAAATAACACAGAATCACGAAGCCTAAACATTCCAACACCCACTGCTCAGACGTCACCCACACAACAAGTAAACATAAACAAAAATGGACACCTTAAATAATTTAATGACAAGAACACAAATATTATTCAAATACAGAAAGTTAGAGCTGCAGTACACGAAGCAGAAATTGTGCATAAAATGACAGCGATACAGAATTTGGAATCAATAGATGAAGGAACAGGATGTCAGAAAAAAGAACGTCGCAGAAATAAACAATTTGTTATTATGACAAGCAACAGCAATGACAAAGTAACAACAGTTTCCAAGTCCATATCTTTACATGTAACCAGATTAACACCAGACACCAAATTCGAAGATCTAGGATCAATGATAAAACAACATTTTCCAGAAGTAAAATGCAAAGATTATCTATCAAAACATCCAGAGGTTTCTGCGTCTTTTAAGGTATCTATTAATTGGTCAAATTTCAGAAGGGCTGGCTCTTCGAAGAAGAGTAGAATCGACTTTTTTTCTGATTTAACCGAAAAACGTGGTAAAAAAGTCCCATAGTTATGAAACCAAATACATGGTTGGTACGTACCTTCGCCTTCTTTATCATTTTCGTCACTACTACATTTTTCTTCACTTTCGTCACTTATCTGATTCTCTTTATCCATCTTATTGCCCTTGGAACCTTAATCTATTTCATGACGTTCTCGTTCTACTTCTCCTTCGTATTCTGATGGATTGTAGTCTTCATCATTGAAGCCACTAGTCTCAAAAGGATCGACTTCTGATTCTGTATCGCTGGCAATGATGGCTGCTGCCTCCTCCTCTAGTTCTCACTGCGTCAATATCTTTCTCCTTATCTTGAATAAAACAAGATTCTTGGGATACATATAACCCACCAAAAATGCCTGTTGGGATATATTTCACCCATAAAACAATTTACTAGTTTTATTAAATATACTTTTTATCTTTTTGTAGGTAGCTCCACTTACAAAAACAAAATCGCAACAACAGTAACAGCGCACAACTGTATCTGTGGTAAAAAAATATAAACACATTCGACAGATCAACATCACGGGAAAATACAGCTCGAAAACGGTTCGCAGTATTGCCGCTGACACAAATTATTCTTTTAAAAGTTCTTAAAAAGTCGGCTACAATAAAAATTCATGTGAAACGGTTGATATTTAGTCCAACAGACTTGATTTCATGACTGGGATACATACGTCCCGCCAGAGTCGAAAGAGATAATGATTTTATGGGTAAAGCTTTGCAGCTTCTTTCAAATCTTCTTATTGCTCTTTGATTACAAAAATAGTAGTTTTGTGTTGTTTTGTGTTTTTTGTTTACCTTTCCTGTCGCCTCCTGAACTGTACTTTCTATGCATATTGTAATTTTTTCCTATTCTGTATTCATGTCGTTGTTGGTTGTAATTTACGGTAAATGATTACTTAATCTGTTTTGATATGGATCAGTTACCTTCTATCTTGGTATAGTTATGGTATATTACCGAATATGAGCTTTTTATGTTTGTTATTTTCTGATATTGCCTCTCCAACTGCTGCATACATCAAAGACAATGCCGTAGAGCAAGTGTGTAGTGAGCAAGCAAGTATACCTTAATTGTGCTATAATTAGTCTCAGTGTGACCTCCGGGGCGTCTTCGAATCAGGATTACAATTTTTAGGTTATTTAGGTAAAGGTTTTGTATTTCGTACATTTGAATAATACACAATTTTGTATTGTTTAGATGCAAACTCCTTTATGTGATAATTAAAGTTATTTGAGTATATTAGTCTTCGTAAGTGGGTATATTTATTTAAAAACCCTTAAAAGGGCTACATAAAAAAAAACAAACGTTTTCGGACTAAACAGTCCATCATCAGGTTTAAAATCGCTAGGTTAAAATGCCTGAGCCACCAAAAATACATGGGTAAAAACCCTTTAAATTACATATAGTTATAAAAGATTATACATCTTGTTGTTAAAAAACTGTGATGTTCAGTATTAAATTAAACATGACTTCAGGTAACATACATTGCAAAAATTTGAGTTCCAGAGCCGGGGAGAAAACCTCTACGCACGGAGAACAGCTGGAAACTCCAGTTTCTTGTGGAATTTGAGTATTGTTAAATTGTGTAGTATTCCTGAGAATCCGTATATAGTAGTGTGACGTTGTTATAAGCATATATGTTTCTTTGCATAAAAATTATTAGTTGCCTTGTTTGATGATATGCTCGAGAACACTCGATTTTTAGTAGCAACCAAGATGATAGTTCCGCCTTTATGCAGTTGAACAAGTATTTACTTAAAGTTTTGTTGTGCCAAAACACTCATTTTCAAAAGCACCAACAATTCCAATATCAATTATAACCTACTAAGTTATTATGTCGGGGCACATAACGGCTAAATAGGACAGGTACTGGACGAAGATCAGCAGTAAGTAAAGAGCGACAGAAAGAACAAAGGAAAGCTTAGTGGAAAAACGTAGAAGATACGCCTTTAAAGGTGATTCTCATTGACCTAACTCTAGATTCATCATCATCATCAACTAGCCTCTAACGTCCACTGCTGAACATAGGCCTCTCGCATGCTTTTCCACTTAGTCCGATTTTGCGCCATCTGAATCCAATTTGTAGTCACTTTTTTTATGTCATCTGTCCATCTCGTTGGACGTCGACCTCTATTTCTGTAAGCTTGTATTCGGGGTCTCCATTCCAAAATTCTTTTTGTCCACCGGTCATCAACTGATCTTGCTACATGACCTGCCCAGTTCCACTTTAGTGTTGTTATCCTTTCAATAACGTCTGCTACTCCTGATCTTTTGCGTATAGTAGCATTGGGTATTCTATCACGTAGAGAAATCCCTAACATAATTCTCTCCATTGCTCTTTCCGCAACTTGTAGTTTACTCACTGTTGTTCTTGTGAGCGTTAGGGTTTCTGCGCCGTAGGTCATCACTGGCAAAATACATTGATTAAATACTTTTCTTTTCAGACACATTGGAATCTTAGACCTAAAAATATCCTTCATCCTTCCAAATGCAGCCCAAGCGAGGTTTATTCTTCTTTTCAGCTCGATTGTTTGGTTGTCTCGACTTATTCTGATCTCATGGCCTAAGTATTTATAGGAGTCAACTGGCTCAATATATTTATCTTCTACTAACTCTAGATTATGTATGAATAAATAAGTAAAAAATCTGACATGTTATGTGAAAAATAAGAGCACTATTTATGTAACTTTTTTTATTTATGTTTCTTTAGTAGTAGACCTTTCTATATTAAATAAATGTTTTCATCAATCTTCTATTTATTGTTGATTATTGCTATAAAAAGAAAAGCAGACAAATAGAGATAAATTATCTCTCAAATATTTGCTTTCTGATATTTTGCTTTAAAATAAGCAAGTAATTGCTTTAATATCCAAAGTACCACAAAAATAAATAGCGTATATATAGCTAATTAAAACCATCTCACTACTTTTGAGAGAAACTTTTAATAACATCCTCCAATTCAGAAATTAGATTTAATCTCTGTATATTAATTGGCAAACGAGAGGAAGGTAGGAATAGACCAATAGAAATCGACTGAAAGTATAAATAAAGCTTAATAAACGGTTTTAATACTTAAAAAAATTAAATATTTGTTCTGCTTCTGTGGAATTTCAATTTTTGTAAATATCGTTTTGGAAATAAGCCATATGTTATTACTAGAGACCAGAATATATGCAATATATGCACAAGAATGGCGCAAATATGCAGACATTAATTTATGTCTTCTTCATAAATATTGGATCTAAAATCAACAATTCACATAATATTACTAATATAAAATGTCTTCCTGTTGGTATTTCAAAAGTCGTATTTTTGTATAGCTTAAAACTGCATTATTAACCTTTTCAATATTATTTTTCGAAAGAAAATGCAAAAAAGTATTTTTGAAGTGTGTATATTTTAGGCAATTCCTAGCTGAGCGCTTTCGGCTTTACAAAGCCATCATCAGAGTATGCTACAATAAAATGTTCTTATAAGTACTAATTGGTAAAGATTGTAATTTTTAACTTACGTCAATTTTTTAAATACCACTACAAAGGAGAGATCTCATTTCCTTAAATTTCAAAATTATGATTTTGTAGGTGTTGAAATTCTTAAAAACTTATAAAAAAAAACATATAAAAAGCCGACACTGGACTTCACAAACACGTTAAAAAATTGAAAAAATTTTTGTCATGGTACGGGTTTAAGAACCCGACCATTGATTGATGTGAGGACGTAGACTGAATAGAACTAATAAAATCAAATGTCGGTCCTTTTAAACGATTTTTCAAAAGTGACAGGTGACAAATGTCATATATAGGAAATAGAGATTGTTTTTTTAAATTCTTACAAAATTATTTAGTAGTTTGGAATTACTAATAGTCATCAAAGGCTTTCTAAAAATTAAGTTTATAAATTAAATTTTATGTGTTCATCACATCATGTTGACATTAGTTTGTAAATTCACTCAAGTCATTGCTCAAGGTCAATGTATGTTCAATCTGACAGCCATCCTTAAGAAACAAGGGCTCAAATTGTTCAACAACAGGATAAAGAAGAAACATGGTATTAATGTTACGTTATCTGATACTTAAGTGTATTAAGAATTGTATGTCTTGATGGAAAATTGTAAGAACTTTGCATAAAAAATTTTTTAAGAATGTATTTTCATGTTTCAATTAAGAATAACTGTCAAATGGATTACAAATTGTTGTAAATTTTAATAAAGTTTTAAAATTTGTTTAAAAATATAAAAGTATGAAAATTATATAACAAGATTGCATGAGGTCACCCTTCTTCCTCTAAAGTCTCCCATAATAATTTAAAAAGAGGTTTATAGTTGCAATTGAGGTTGATTTGTGTGTTTAAGCAACAATCAGGGTTTATTTTCATTTCTTTGGATATCTCTAGATCTTCCAAGAGATTCATGAGTCTAAAGTTTTTATTGGGAATGTTGTGTAAAATTTTACTGTTTTCAGAAGGAGAAAATGAATGATTATTAAATTTAATGTGATATCCAAAGTTTGATTTTTCTGGGTTATTGAGGTGTTCTTTGATTCTTTGATTCAGAGTTCTCATCGTTCTCCCTACATAAGTCATATTACAGTCACCACAGGACAGCTTGTAAATACCACTTCTGTTTAGTTTGTCAACTTTGTCTTTGGTCTTGCTGAAGATGGACTTGATGGACACAACATTCCCAATAAAAACTTTAGACTCATGAATCTCTTGGAAGATCTAGAGATATCGAAAGAAATGAAAATAAACCCTGATTGTTGCTTAAACACACAAATCAACCTCAATTGCAACTATAAACCTCTTTTTAAATTATTATGGGAGACTTTAGAGGAAGAAGGGTGACCTCATGCAATCTTGTTATATAATTTTCATACTTTTATATTTTTAAACAAATTTTAAAACTTTATTAAAATTTACAACAATTTGTAATCCATTTGACAGTTATTCTTAATTGAAACATGAAAATACATTCTTAAAAAATTTTTTATGCAAAGTTCTTACAATTTTCCATCAAGACATACAATTCTTAATACACTTAAGTATCAGATAACGTAACATTAATACCATGTTTATTCTTTATCCTGTTGTTGAACAATTTGAGCCCTTGTTTCTTAA